AGCACTGATGATGTAGACACAGCATTGTTACAGAGTAACTGTTTCACAAAAGCACTGATGATGTAGACACAGCATTGTTACAGAGTAACTGTTTCACAAAAGCAGTGATGATGAAGCTAGAGCTGTTGCCTGAGCTCTAACTGCAAACACCTGAGTCAATGCTCACTGTGACTGCATCTCTTATCCAGAAATTCCTATGTGTGTGCACAGAACCATCCAACTTCTTCAGTCTGCCCAGGTACTTGCGCTTGATGTCATGGATTAAAGGTTTATAGGGCTAGAACACCATGTAAAAATTTTAATTATGTAGGTTTTGTTAATTTTTAAATTTAATTTCAGCATAGTGGACAATGTTTTCATAACAGTAAAGAGAACACTGGACATTATTGCTTCTAAGGGGACAGTAAGTCCCACAGGATTCACCATCACTAAGGACTGCTATGACCATTGAAAGGCTAAAACAACTTGTGCAAACCATAAAACCTTTGAGAAACTACTTAGAGTACCTTACCAAAAGTCTTACACTCGAAGAAAGACACTCTAACACTGTATGACTTTTTCTCTTTTATCTTATTTAAAAAAAGTCAGAAACTCTCAAGCAGCTATCAAGTTCACACGGGAACTTCACCTAGGCTACGTGGGGACATCTACATCATGCTGACGGGATGTGCAGCTTGAGCAATTAAGGCTTCTTTGGAACTATTAGGAGAATGCATATGGTGTCTTTAAATAAGCCAAGGATGCCAAAAGAAAACAATAGGCTTTGTTTAGTTTTCTTTCCCCACAACAGGCTTCTTACAAATTCAACTAAGAAGTTAGAATGTGATTTAAGAAAACTACTTACTTTCTCTAAGAGAACAGTCCAAAGTTGAAATGGATAGCACTTTAGAAAGACCGTGCCACTGAGAAAGAAAGGTAAGTCTGTCAAATAGGAAATGCTAGAGAGATGACTTAAGCAAACATGGGTGTCTGGACGTCTAAATGTATGTATGTATATGTGTGTGCGTGTGCGTGTGTGTGTGTATTAAAGAGGATCCAGATCTACTGATGCTACGGGATTGCACACTTGACCCCAAATCTGAAAACATAAACTATACAGAATAAATGGTTAATTAATATTATAATACAATTCCCAACATTTTCAATGTTTTGTCCCTTCCTTACTATATTAATACTCTTAATACTCAGATAACACTGGAATCTAATTTGCACTGAAAAAACTAGTTTCTTTTAGCATAACTCATGAGTAATAAGGAAGGGAGGTATCCAGATGAATTTAAGAGCATATTCTGTTCTATATGGCTGCATAATAAAACTCTACTACAGAAATTATCAGCTTCTCATCAGGAATAACAGCTTCTATTATATATCTCTAGACAATTTCCCCTAATGGATGAAGTAACTGGTTAGAATACTACGTAACATAACCACCTGTGTTTTCATATTAATGATCACCTTATATGTTCCTAAATCTTTCGAACCTTCTAATCATTTTACTTAGCTAATTACAAAAAAAAAAGGATCTCTTTCTCTATTGCCTCATCCTATTTAAGGTATCATCTAATTCAAACTTGCTTCT